GAGAGACTTCAGAGAAGTTTTACTAGCCCAAGGTCACCCAGCAGCTGCATGTGGAGGAGTGGGGACGCGAACCCAGTTCACCAGATAACGAGTCCACTGCTCTTAACCACTACACCACACTGGCTCTCTAAATACCCCCAAGGTCAGCTGCAACACCAAAAAGGCAGGGAGGTGGCAGAGGGCCTTACATGATGAATGGGGTGAGGAACACATGCAAAGAACACTTCAAAAAAGAATTGTGGCGAGGGATGGGGAAACCTGTGCTTGGACTCTAGCTTCCCCTGGCCTCAGGCAATGATGGGAGCTGTAGTCCTGCAATATCTGGAGGGCCCAGATTCCTTGTCCTGGGTGTCAAGGTTCCGTCATAGAAAAGCTCTGCCCCAAAGGCAAAGGAGGAAGCTATGCAAACAAAATCAGAACCCATGCCTAAAGAACGCAGCAGTGCTCAATCCAAAAGCCCCAGGCCGGATGGGTGGGTAACTGGGGGTAATGGAATTCCTTCCTCCACTTCTCTTGCTGGCATCTTTTCTTAGCAAAGCAGCTGTTGCTCTGACTCCCCCAGCTGGACAAGACTTGAATTACACAGGAAGAGCCGCTTGCTATCCTCCTTGACTGAAGGTAGGATGGAGACTGTTGAGAACTATGGGGATACGAACTTGACTTCCAGAATTGGGGGGAGGAGGTAGGATATAAATGCAGGCTGTGACCGCTGACACACATGTTCAATTGACTAATAATAATAATAATAATAATAATAATTTATTGTTTATACCCTGCCCATCTGGCTTCCAACCAAATATTAAAAACAATACAGCATCAGCCATTAAAAACTTCCCTACCACCTTCAGTTGTCTTTTGAAAGTAAAATAGTTATTTATTCCCTTGACAGATGATGGGAGGGTGTTCCACAAGGCGGGTGCCACTACCGAGAAGGCCCTCTGCCTGGTTCCCTGTAACCTCACTTCTCACAGTGAGGGAACCGCCAGAAGGCCCTTGGGGCTGGACCTCAGTGTCCGGGCAGAATGATGGGGGTAGAGACGCTCCTTCAGGTATACTGGGCCGAGGCCATTTAGGGCTTTAAAGGTCAGCACCAACACTTTGAATTGTGCTTGGAAACGTACTGGGAGCCAATGAAGATCTTTCAGGACCGCTGACTTGCAGCCCCGGAAGGGGGCAGAACAGACTTACACACACAAAGACCCAGAATGCAACCCCTGCACAAATGGGGAGTTGCCTGTATAAAGTAGGTAGCTTTGAGAATTCAACAGAGCAAAATGGCCCAGTCTGGGAAGGTCACTTTTCTCCTGCTGGAAACTGGAGGTGGAGAAAACCTGAAGGGCAACCAATCAAGGACCTAAACCATTGGATTTAAGGTACAAGAAAGGAGATTCTGACTAAACATCAAGATGAACTTTCTGAAAGCAAGAAAGTTTCCGTTTGACAGTGGAATGGACTCCCTTGGAAGGTGGTGGACTCTCCTTCCTTGGAGGTTTTTAAGCACAGGTTGGAGGGCCACCTGTTATTGATGTTTCACTTGAGACTCCTGTTTTGCAGGGGGCTGGACTAGATGACAACTGGGGTCCCTTCCAACAGTGGCAGAGCTTCATGCTCCAACACCAGGAGGTGTAGAGCAGGCGGTGGCGGGGCTGGCGTGCATCCTGGGGGCGTGGTGCTCAGCACAGGTGGAGGGCCAGCCGCGATGGCACCCCACCAGGATTGCGTTGTGCTCCCCCCGCACTCCTCTTCCTCCGCCAGTGCCTTCCAACTCTACAGTTCTTTTTTAAAATCATTTTTATTAATTTTCCAGTAAAAAAACCAATTAATATATCCAGTCATAATCCAATTAAAATAAAAAACTGAAATAAAAAGATCAAATTATAATTCAAATTATAATTGTTGATTTTTTGGAACTCCCGATAGTCTGGACCTCTGAAGCATATCTCCACATCTCAGTCCTGCCTCTCCTCATTGTTTCCATATTTTCCACATCTCGATTTTAACGCTTTAACCATCTCTACCGTTCTATGAGTCTTATGATTCTATCCCACTCCGGTACAGGGAATAACACAGCTGTACGTGCAGGAGAAAACAGGGAGAAATAATACCTGGGTCACAGATAGCAAAGGGGAGTTGCAGTACTGTCATGAACAGGGTGGTGTGAAAATGACCAGAAGTCAGGTGGTTTTGTTTATTCCAGAAGCAGGCTTTTCCATCTACAGTAGTACCTCGGGTTAAGAACTTAATTCATTCTGGAGGTCCATTCTTAACCTGAAACTGTTCTTAACCTGAGGTACCACTTAAGCTAATGGGGCCTCCCACTGCCGCCGCGTGATTTCTGTTCTCATCCTGAAGCAAAGTTCTTAACCCAAGGTACTATTTCTGGGTTAGCAGAGTCTGTAACCTCAAGCATCTGAAACCTGAAGCATCTGTAACCCGAGGTACCACTGTACAGCCAAGGACCAGAACTGGGACACTATGGAAATATATTTTATGGCATTTTAGTCTGCATCCAAAATAAGGGGTTTTTAATTGAGCATGTGGGAGTCTGTGTTTTGGTAAAGGAAGAGCTGGGGACCTCCCATCAGCCCCAGCCACTATGGCCAAAGGCTAGGAATGATAGGAATTGTTGTCCAACACACCAGGGACAACCTTTCCAGACACTCTGCCATGCTCATGGGTACATACAAATATGTACTACTAAAGAGTTTCTCCATGTGAATTCCAGACCTTGAGAGAGACCCCTAACAAGCTTTATTGCTTAAAAACCCATCAACAACCTTTCCACCTTTTTCATATTTTTACTGAGGGTTAAAAGTGGGTTTTTCAAAAAAAGATGGCTGAGATTCTCAGTACATGCAAATTCCTACAGCTCCTTTTCACAAAGGAGACTCTGAATATAGAAACCCACAGTGGATGGGTACAGAGGCCCACAAGTCAAGGGTCTGTCTGTGAAAAGCTGAAGCATGAGCATATCCACCAGCAAAAACCTGTGCTTTAGTGGGTGCTACAATTCCAGAAGGGACGTGGGTGGTGCTGTGGGTTAAACCACAGAGCCTAGGACTTGCCGATCAGAAGGTCGGCAGTTCAAATCCCCGCAAGGGAGTGAGCTCCCGTTGCTCGGTCCCAGCTCCTGCCCACCTAGCAGTTCGAAAGCATGCCAGTGCAAGTAGATAAATAGGTACCGCTCTGACGGGAAGGTAAACAGCGTTTCCGTGCACTGCTCTGGTTCGCCAGAAGTGGCTTAGTCATGCTGGCCACATGACCCGGAAGCTGTGCGCCAGCTCCCTCGGCCAATAAAGCGAGATGAGCGCCGCAACCCCAGAGTCGGTCACAACTGGACTTAATGGTCAGGGGTCCCTTTACCTTTACCTTTACAATTCCAGAAAAAGGGATACGAAGGCCAAATCTGGCTTGTCTTCCAATGCAAGAGCCCTGAAGGATAAGGAAGAGGCAGTCTCCAACAGCAGATTTATGACGCTTTTTATCAACCTACTTTTGGCAAGATATGACCTTTCACGAGAATGGATCAAAACATGCAGATCAGCTGAAGAGTCATCTTGAATTATAGTCAATAAATAAAAGCCGGTCATGTGAATCCGTTATAGTTTTCCAACTGAAGTCAGCCTCTCTGTAAGTAAAAAAAGGTAAAAGGTAAAGGTACCCCTGCCCGTACGGGCCAGTCTTGCCAGACTCTAGGGTTGTGCGCTCATCTCACTCTATAGGCCGGGAGCCAGCGCTGTCCGCAGACACTTCCGGGTCACGTGGCCAGCGTGACAAGCTGCATCTGGCGAGCCAGCGCAGCACACGGAACGCTGTTTACCTTCCCACTGGTAAGCGGTCCCTATCTATCTATTTGCACCCGGGGGTGCTTTCGAACTGCTAGGTTGGCAGGCGCTGGGACCGAACGACGGGAGCGCACCCCGCCGCGGGGATTCTCTCTGTAAGTAGTGGTAGGTGAATAGACCCTCAAACCAAGGATCAAATTGCCAGACAAGCAAAGGTGCTGTTTAGCAGTAAACAAAGTGCTGGTCGTTTAATTGGCTAAGACTCTTCTTGTCTATTAATACAGCATCATTCTCCTTCCCTTGGAGAGATGGACAGCTGTAGCACCACAATCTCCAGTTACAAGATGAGCTGATTTGATGCTGTTTTGAACAATTCCCCACTGCTCCACCCCGATACCTGAGAACACCTGCACAACAGAACTAAAACTTGTTGAAGTCTGTCACCATCTGCTCTTAAAAAGCTGGTGCACAACACACCAATGAAGGGTTGCAACCCTTTGTTGCAGGCAGCACACATCACACCTCCAGCTGTGAATGTGCAAGCAGTGCCCTTCGTTGGTTAGGAACCTGTAATGGGGCGACTTTTTATCATATGTGGTGGGATGGTAGTAAAAATTTTTAAAAATTGGAAAATGATATATAGTGAGTTGAAGAAAATGTTCCAATTAACATTTGTAAAAAAAAAAGCCTGAAGCTTTCTTGTTAGTGATTGTAGGAAAAGACCTGCCAAGGAAATTAAAAAACATTTTCATGTATGCAACAACGGTGGCAAGAGTCTTAATAGCACAGGGATGGAAAAATTAGGAAATCCCGACTAAAGAACTATGGCAAGAGAAACTGATGGATTATGCGGAATTAGGAAAATTGACACATAAACTAACTGTGACTTTAAAGAAGAATGGGAACCTTTTACAAAGTACTTAAAGAAACAACAAAATGAACTGGACTCCTTAGCAGGTTTTGAATAAACATTCACAAACTCTTTATTGGTAATATAGCGATAGATAAATTGAGGATCTTTACAACTCTATAACATGCAGAAAATAATATGTGTTGAAAAACCAGAGAGGGGAGCTGAGGGAAGTCTGGGGGTGGGTGGGAGGGTGGGTTTGTTTTCTTTTTAGGGGAGGGGGAGGGGGGAAATGGAGGGGGATAAGAATGATGTATTTTTGATAAATTGTTTGTTTGTTTTTTCAAAAAAATTATTTTTGATAAATTGTTAATTGTTGAAATTCCTAATAAAAATTGTTGTTGTTTTTTGTTTTTTGTTTAAAAAGGAACCTGTAATGGGGCATTCAATAAAGAGGTTCATAGTCAGGATCAGGCAGCTTTGTGATCTAGGGTGGCTCTTTAGCTTGTGGAACTTGACAGCGTCCAGTTTCTCAAAGCGCTTTCTGCAGTGCTCGCAAGTGAAGTTGTACTGGGCTTTTGAGGTATGCTTCTTCATGTGCCAGTTGAGAGAAGCTCACTGCCGGCATTGGTATCCACAGATCTCACACCTGTAGAGAGAAGCCGTCATCACCTCGCTGCATTCAAGAACATGGCAGCAGCCGAGAGCCCACAGGCAAGGCAATATGCCATCACCGCTTGCTGCCAACCTTTCACACTGCATGCACATAGCACCCTTGAAAATCAGAGACTGGGCGTCAACCAGTTACTGTGTCTGACTTCAGGTGTAGCCAAAGAGGGAGCTGTGTCCACAAGAGGGAGCTTTTGCCAGCAGTTTCCATCAAGAGGTGGGACTGTTATCACACCCAGAGACCGTTCTGTGCTGCCTCTCCAAGGCACCTTTAACATTACGTTCTCAACAAGGTTGAAAGGAAACAGCCATTCAGATTAATTCATTGCTTAAATCCAGCCCCAAATTTTAGCTAGCACTGCCCTTTGTAGAGGGACGCCGGTGGCGCTGTGGGTTAAACCACAGAGCCTAGGACTTGCAATCAGAAGGTCGGTGGTTCAAATCCCTGCAGAACAACGAAATTGAAAAAAATCTACATCAGACATTCAAAAACCAACAAGCCTCCTTTCCCAGCTATCCCAGCCTGGTTAACCCCCTAAAAACTCTGATACCCCATAAATAATAATAATAATAATAATAATAATAATAATAATAATAATTTATTATTTATACCCCGCCCATCTGGCTGAGTTTCCCCAGTCACTCTGGGCGGCTCCCAATCAGTGTTAAAAACAGTACAGCATTACATATTAAAAACTTCCCTGAACAGGGCTGCCTTAAGATGTCTTCTGAATATCAGGTAATTATTTATCTCTTTGACATCTAATGGGAGGGCGTTCCACAGGGAATTAAATACAATATCCTCCCACAGAGACTACCTTACACTGTGTTTAAAACCAAAATCGCATTTGGATAAAAACTGTTTCTCAGGTGGCTAGTCCTAGTCTTTATAACCCTGTACCTTCTTCCAGAAGGCAGAAGCTAAAAGAGATCATTTCCGGGGTGCGCACTATCCTGCACTATCTTTGCAGCTTTCTTATAACACATGGAAGCATAGATTTGATCCAAGGTAGGGAGAGTGCACCCAATTATTCTCTTCGCAGTCTTTACAACCCTGGATAGCATTGTTTTTCCCCGGACCATACAGCTCACAAACCACACACAGACCATACGTTAATGCACTCTCAACAGTACAATGGTAAAATGCCATCAACAGGTCCTTTGAGAGATTATTTTTCCAGAGGATTCTCAGAAAATATAACCTCTGCTGTGCTCTCTTCATCAGGTCTTTACTGTTTTCTCCCCAGGTTAGGTCATACAGTAATACCTCCGCAAAACATTCAGGAACTAAGCTGTTCGAAAACCAAGGTAAAGTTGTACCTTGTTTGGCAACCGGGATCTGTTCCAGAGCCCCGGCCGCTAGCCGAAAAGGACTCAGGGCAAAGAGATTTAGGGCTTCTGCGCATGCGCGAGCAGCAAACCCGGAAGTAACCCGTTCCTGTACTTCCGGGTTTGCCGCGGATGTTCGCCAGAATGGACGCTAGACAAGGCGGGCGTTCGTGGAGATGTTTCTGTATGACTGTAAAGCTAGACAAGCACCTCAACAATATGTTGGAATGCACCATCTCTAGTTGCAAATCTCTGGTTACAAACGTGAATCCTCTGTGAAATACTTCCTGTGGCCATCTCTGTCTGAAGACTACACAAACTTAATGGGAATGAGAGAAATTCCCTGAAGGCTGCAATGTTTGACAGAAGGAGCCACATGTCATGGCCTGATTAACAAGTCATTCCTCCCTTTAACAAAAAGCTAAATACAGTGGTACCTTGGGTTACATACGCTTCAGGTTACAGACGCTTCAGGTTACAGACTCCGCTAACCCAGAAATAGTGCTTCAGGTTAAGAAATTTGCTTCAGGATAAGAACAGAAATCGTGCTCCGGCAGCACAGCGGCAGCAGGAGGCACCATTAGCTAAAGTGGTGCTTCAGGTTAAGAACGGACCTCCGGAACGAATTAAGTACTTAACCCGAGGTACCACTGTACTTCATCATCCTGCCAAACTCTGTATATCAGCACTTCTCTCAATAATAACCCATTTTGCTGTCAAGACCAAATCATTATACAGAGAACTAGATGCCATCTACCACCCCACAGTTAACTATTGGCAAACAACTCAAAGGTCTAGAATATAGACTTCAAGCTTTCGTAAATGAATAAAGGAAATACCTACTCCTTTTGGTTTCCATGGTAATTTTGAAGCATGAGAACAATGTGCCAAGCTATCTTTAGGGCAAATGAAAGGTCTAATGCAGCATTTCTCAAACCACGCAATTTGCTATGGCCAATTTATGGCATTAGGACAATTTTTTTAATTTTTGTTTTTAAAGAAAGAAGAACCACACAATTTTAGGATTAGAACATCAGCTAATGTGCCACATTTTTTATCTATTTCTGCTTGGCATTTGCCTCTTTAACATTAGACATCTTAATTACCAGTAATGTAAAATATAAAGAGATATTTGTCAAGCATATTCGCCTCAAATTATTTTTGAAATTTTTATACAGCCATCATCTACTATAATCAGAGAAGACTCAAAGCAGGCACATTCTGTTTCAATTTTTAAATGTCTGCAGAAAACCTTTCTAGTCAGGCCAATGTAGGCCTACTGTTAAATATATCTTTCCGCAATAGTTGGCTGATTTCTGATTTTAACATTTTTTGTGGTTTTTATTCTGTCACTTTACATACAATTGTTGTGAACTGCTCTGATTTCTTCTATGAATCCCTGGTTCTCAAACACAATCCGTTCTGGAAGTCCGTTCGATTTCCAAAACGTTCAAAAACCAAGGGGTGGCTTCTGATTGGCCCCGGAAACAATGCCGACAGCTGAAATAGATGTTCAGCTTCCGAAAAACGGTCTCAAATCAGAACACTTACTTTCGGTTTTGCGGCGTCCAGGAGCCGATTTGTTCATCAACTAAACTGTTCAGGAGCCAAGGTACCACTGTATATAAATATATATTATAAAAAAATTATAAGCCTACAAGCAGGAACAGTTAAACAGAAGAGGGCATTACGCACTGAAAATGTAGCTACTGTATTTCTATCTCAGTGTCAACTTTATGCTATTAAACAGAGGTGGACAAATGTTATAGAGCAAGGTGGATTATTGATCATAATATACCATCCAACTCCTTGACTTCTTTTATTGGGTCATGTAAAGGACCTTATAGCCAAGAAGGATACATGTTTGGGGTTTTGAGTTCAGTGAGCAAAAACAGAGATTATGGGAAATGCTAACATCCCAACAAAAACATAACACTATGGGAAATATAAACAGCATCGCTTAACAAAACTAAAAAATGCAATTTGGTTCAAAGCGGGGAAATTCTGAATTTTCATTTTATTTTTGAAAACTGGAAGCCATATATCAATGGGAAATATTCTATATAGACCTACTGAAATTATTGAACCTACTCACTCATGTTCATTAATTTCAATGGGCGAGTAAAACTTCATTGAGCGCCAGCCAATAGAGGAATCTGCAAGCGCATGTAAAACATGATTCTGTGCTGATTCGGTGAAATTTTACTCTGTTAAGAAATACTATCAGAATTCATTTCTTTGATTTCTTTTTGGAATTTTGTATCTGTCATTTGCAGAGTTTACTGCAGTAACAAGTAACTGAAAGTAAGAACTCATTGCAATTCACTAGCTTCTGATACTGGCACACACTTGTGCTCAACAAGTTGCATTTTCCCTGCTCAGGACTTCCAAGTTTTGTAATCCTCAAGTTTCAACCTGTCACCAGACACCCTTGACCAGCAAGGAGCACGGGCTCCAAACAGTGGGCTAGACATGCCTGCAGTCATTCGTTTCTGCTCTTTGCTCAGAAAACAATTCAGCCAATGTAACAGAGCAAGCAAAACACACCACTACAAACATATTTACATACTTTTCTTCCTTTGTGGCTCATAAGGCATCTGCTCCCAAAGCTTCCTGAAAGAAAAAATAATAGCCTATCACACCACATGCACTCAGAATCTGAGAAGTGGATACCATTATTGGTTTTTAAAAGAAAGCCGAATCGAAAGAAGATGATTTTCAAATGGTCCCAAGCAAGATAAATGAGACTCTGAAGATTAGATAGATAGATATAGATAGATAGATAGATGATAGATAGATAGATAGATAGATAGATAGATAGATAGATAGATGATAGATAGATAGATGATAGATGGATGGATGGATGGATGGATAGATGATATAGATATATAGATATATATATAGATATAGATGATATAGATATAGATGATAGATATAGATATAGATATAGATATAGATAGTTTATTTATTAATTAAATTTACCAATTTAATTAATAAATAAACTATCTATATCTATATTGCCCTTCATCCAAAGGCCACAAGGCAGTTTACAACATAAAAATACAAAATGAGAACACAAAATACACAATAAACCAAAAACCAACCAGTAGCACCCCTCCCTAACACATAAGAGTCAGTTTGCTCTTCAGTCCCTCTCAGGAAGTCAAGAGCTAAAGTACCACAAAATTCAATCATCTTAATCATGTTTCCTCAGCCACAGAAATCACTACTTCTGGGAAACTGAGGATCCCATCAAGAACACCAACAAATGCATTGATTTCTTAATCATAATGATGACCTCTTAACATCTAAGCTCAGATGAATACTATGAAATGTGATTTCTGGTCTCTTAATGCAGAGAAATACAGCGGCTGTCTCAAGCTTTCTGTTTGAGATTTCCGAAAATCTTGAGGTTTTTTAAAAAAATGTTTTACATTAGGCAATTGCCTGTGTTGATTTTGTTAAATCTTTCTCTAATAGTGTTAACCATAGTAAAGGTAAAGGGACCCCTGACCTTTAGGTCCAGTCATGACCAACTCGCTCTTGTGATAACTTGGCTGTGGAACCAAACGGATATTGAAAAAGCTGCCCCTCATCACTTCAGAAGTTCACAGAACACTGTGATGGACAAATGCTCACCCTTCACTCCAAGACCATTCCTGAGTTTCATCTTAATCCTATA